CAAACACAAGGCCCGGGGTCCAGATCCGGTCCACGGGGTGATCTCACGGGACTGCCTGTGGCCCTGCTGAGCTCCATTTTCACTGGCAGAGGGTTGTGAGGCCATCACAGCCAAAAATGGAGCTTGGGAGCCCATTTTTGCTGGCAGAGTGCTCAGGCCATCACCGGTGCCCCCGACACAAGTGACTTTAAGCTGACCATGCCCGCCCCCAGCCCTCCCAAAGTCAAACACAATGCAGCCCTCGGTGAAATTGAGTTTGACACCTTTGGGTTAGCCGAATGTTTGAATCCAGTCAGAGATTCTCACCTAGCCAATTCAAAAGTTTCATGGCTGATTGGCTACTTCTAAGTCCAGAATGCGCTTTGAATTCCAATTAAATTAAATTTAAATTCCAATTGAAGCTTTTGGCAACTGGCAGATAGAAGACAAAAGCAGATAGGATGGCGGTAAAGCACCTGCTTTATTTATAAAAAGCTCCATGTTCAATTATTGGAATCTCCACAGTATTGTCTAACAAACACTTACTTCCTGAATTTGCTCACTCTTTGCCCTATGCAGGTAGTTCTAAATATACTTATCCTAACCTTGTTGGATTTAGCGACATTTGGTTGTAAGGATGCTTCTAATTCACAAACTTAAAACTATTAAATCTATTTCAAGGGACTGTATTTATTAGAGAGAGGTTGTTGAAATAAAAATCTGGTCCGGTTCCAAGTTTGGAGAAAGATGCTGGAAATAAAATGGAGGCTTACTGCAAGGAAAGGTCTCTGTTTGTTTGATTTTCCAGAAATTTTAGTGACAGCAGCATATTTCTAGGGTGGTTGTCCAATTGGCTGGGTGAGTGGATAGATTTTTATAGGGTTCTGGATTTTTGTGATTGATATGCTCCAGGGGGTAATGAGCCTTGTGTCTTTTGCTATTCTAACGGTGGTGAGTAAAATCCTATTACGTCCTAAATGTCCTGTCATGTCCTTAGAATTTGGGTGGGGGAATGTAGATTGTAGGAGTCTTTGTTTTTCTACTCTTTTAACTCCATCAGCTCCAGTCTTCTGTGGGAGCTTGTGGCTGAAGGTGTTTTGTTTATTAATAGATCGGCCCAGTCTTTCTGAATGGATAGAAAATCTTCATTCCAAAAGACCAGCCTCTTCAAGCTTCTGTTTGAGGTTGGTTTTCTATGGCAGGAAGACTGGGGCTGCTTTCTGCCTTTGTTAAGATTTTTCTCCATTTCTCCTTTGGGGGCAATATTCTATCCTGCCTCTTTTTAATATTAAGAATAAAGAATATTTCAATCTAGGGAGATGGGGCCTTCCAACAAGATATAAAGATGGGGTCTAATTTTTAAAATACATTGAGGCACAAATATTGTTAGTGAATGCATTTTCATTACAAGTCGATAACTCACAAATTAGAAAACTGGGACAAATTATTTAAAATCTCTTATGAACTATAAGGTTAATCACGTCTTTAAATCACGCTGCTTCTTCTGAATAAGTCCCTATATATGATTTCCTCATTTAAAAAAAAACAAGCAAAAAGAAATACAAAGCAAATACTCGTCTGGATATAAATTCAGGCTTCATAAAGGGCACAGAAAATTATCCACAAATTCAAAGTTATCTGATTTCACGTTCATTAATATTTTCTTACTCCCAACATTGTTTGCTTGTTTGATCCTGTTTAGAGTTGAAAGGGTTGGAAGGTGAGGTAATGCAGGCTATGTCCTAATTTCGTTCCAAAGATAGTAACAATCGATCAGTCAAACTAGTTTCCTAATGTCCGAGCTGCATTCTGCTTTGCCCAAAAAAGGGAAAAGGGAGAAGAGACACATGAATGACCGACTGCCGCTGACACAGATCTTGTTATATAAGAGACAGGAACATAGGACAGGCCTGGGATTCTTGGAAGAGCAAAGTAAAACCTCTGATTTAGGAATTTCTACAAAGACCCAGTTTATCACCCGATAAAGTAGATAATTGCAGCACCTATATGATCTATTACTGAATAAATATTGACTTCCTCCTCCCTGTTCTGAGCTTATGCATATTTAGTCTCCAACCTTTTCTGCATCAATGTCTAAAGAATATTTAACCTCTCAGTGTGTAGTAGCCATCCTACTAGAACAGATGCAGCTCAGCAGTAATAATATTGTCAAAATTTAATTAATGAATATGCTGCTTCCCATAAGAGAAACAATTATATTGTCATAGGTCAGTTTATAAGCTGCAATTAAACTTGCTTCATGGGAATGGAAAGGTTTAATTCTTGGTTGTCCTAGTCTAGTGCTCTACCAACAAAGCACAGTGCCCAAATAAATAACACTAAGTAACAACTCTTTCTAAAGATGGCCAGGAATCAGCAATAGCAAACTTCTTTTGCATAATTGACACATCTAAATCCAGAAAATCAATTTGATTCAAGCAACTATTTTGATTATTTCTATTGGGATTTGATCAGTCTCCAAGGCTGTTTTATGGCATTGTTTGCATTCTTGTTTGTATGTACAATGTATTGTTGGAAGAAATTTCCCCAGTTTATACCCAGCTGGGACACACCACAGATGCTGAGAAGAAATGGATGCAGAAGCCAGCTGCCAGAAAGTGGAATTCTTTTAATGTAGGAAGGCAAGAAGCAAAAAGTGACACAGATCGAGAGTGTTCCTGGCTTGCAACCAAATTGGGAGTGTGATTCTGAGCCTTTTATGTTTAATTCCCCTTTGAAGCTCTTGCAGCTTGATGGGTTTTGAAGTGTTTCTGATTGCCTTAGGTTTTATTTTTCTGTTTTAGTGGGTTAATCTTGGTTCCAGGTCTTTTATTTTTCCTGTTCTTGGGGTTTAATCATGTCAGGGACAAGAAAAAGGGAGTTTTGGTTTACCTTGGGGAGTTTATTTTTAGCTTGATTCCCCTTATCTTAATGGCTCTACTTGTGTTTCTGTTGTCAGCTGAGTTTCTTGTTGACTGTTCTGAGTTTTCCTTTCAGCTGGTGCTTCTTGGTTTTCTTAAAGGGGGAATGACTGGCTTGAGTCTCTTGGCACTGTTTTCTGACGTTTCTGGCACTGTCCTTTTGGGCTGTACTTCCCACAGTGTAATTTACAGCTTAATCTACTCTGCTTTCTTTTCAAAGACAAAAGTAAGATTGTTTGCCTCCCTAGCAATTCTATCATAGGAAGGCTAAACAATATGCAAGCATTTTATGTAATTCATATGCAGAAGGGGAAAGGCTATAAGCCAGTGCTGAGATATGTATTAAGCCTGAAGAAAAAAAGTCAAATTCAGTTTCCTAGGTCCTCAGATCAAGAAGAAAGACAAAGTCCTCTATCTACCAGAAAGCCTTGTCAGCTGGTGCTAGACCATGCTAAATCAGCTAACCCAATGATACCATCGAGAGACAATTTCATATCTTTGAGTGACATACATATGCATGAGAATCAAGAGACATGAAAACCCAGTGTGGTATTTAGAATGTTGTGTTTCTGCATGACCAACTAAACCATGAAAAATTGAACTGCATGTACACATTAACATTTTTAAAAGGCTCTTCCTTCTTTCAGGAAGGCAGAATATACATAATTCAGCAAGGCAACAGGTATCAGAATTATAGTGTTTTCCTAATAAAAAGATTTTCTTCAAGAAGAGATTCATGAACAAATATTACAATACCCGGCTAGGATTTTGGATCTTCATCTTTACTCATGCAAAAATGTACATTTTAGGTTGGGATGTGTGTGTCAAACTCAATTTCATTGAGGGCCATATCAGCATTATGATTGCCCTCAAAGGGCCAGTTGCATGTAAGACTATGTATCATATTAGTTCAGGAGGGCATTATGTCTAAGACATGGGCCAAACAGAATTAACATGAGATGCTTAGTTATGTCGCACAGAAAAGCTAACTCACATAGCCACATTTCATCCCTCAGTACTGTAGAGTTCTTTCTTTACTTTCCATGAACTGACAGATTACTTTATGCAACTTGAAAAATCTATTGGGCGCTTTTTCTCGACCTAGTTATCGCACCTCTGTGAGATAGGGCAGACCACCAAGTTCAGAATGTATTTCCTCCAGAAAAGACTTAAATTGACGGTGATTTAAACCTTTGGCTCTTATAAAGTTAACTGTCTGTGTTACAGTGCTCATTACATGTTCCATCTTCAGGGCTTTGCCACAAAGTGTTTTCTGATGTATGATGCAGTGATATGCTGTCAGCTCACCAGTGCAATTCTCGCTCTTCATCTTCTCTCATATCCTTCCCACTAATCCACTCTTTTCTCCACAGTTTGTTCCAGGGTAGTTTCATGTCATTTAACCATTTAGATACAGCTTCAAATATGTGGTAGTTCCATACATTGATTTCATATCCAAAAGTTTCTCTGTAATGCATAAAAACTTGAGTCCATTCCACGGGTGAAGATTGTCAGCTGTGCCGTGACAGTAATGTCAGTGCTCTCATCCACAGCAAGGGAATATGCAATTAAATATTTTCCGTTTTCAATCAACTGTACTTGGAAATCAGTGCCAAGCTCACATATTCGATCAGCAACAGTATTTCTGCTTAGGCTTACATTCAAAAGTGCTTTCTTTTGGTCTGGACACAAAACTTTGCTTATACAGCACTTCAAAAACTTCCCCTCTATAAATGGCCAGGCTGATTTAGCTATCTCTTCTGCCGCTATAAAACTAGCTTTCATAGCAGCTTCACTTTGGGATTTTGCTTTTCTGAACATATGCTGCCCTGACATCAGACCTTTTTAAACTCTTCCACCTCCTTTAGCTTCTGCTGTATGTCCAAGTACTTTTATACTTGTCCTAATGTTTCATCTCATAGTGCTATCTCATGATATATTCTTCAAGTACAGCCACAATAGTTCTGCAAACAAGGCACACGGCCTAATCTTCCATGTCAGCAAACAGGTACTCTGCCTCCCACCTTTTTTGAAAACACCCATTTTCAAACTCCACTTTCCATTTGGCCATCTTTGGGGGGTTTAAATATCAGTATAGGCATGCAGGTCTTCCTCACGGCAGATGTTGCACATATAGAGTATGAGACTGCACGGAAAGCTCAAAGACCCCAGTGCTATGTGAGGCAAGCAGTTGTGAGTGCTCTACATATCCACTCTGGAGGTTCAGTAAGATGCTGTGAGTCTGGATGTTCTGGGTTATAAGGGAGCTGTTGTGATAGGAGGGAGATGGAGTCCCCAATGTGAGGCTGCTAGTGTTGAAACGGCTTTCCGGTTTTACAAATGACTCCTGCAGGTGTTGTTTCGGGAAGATGCTGCTACTGAGCTGTTCCCTGGTGGTGGAGTGAGCTGAGTTTGACATGTCTGCCTTAGAGGAAGTCCATCTACGTGTTTCTTTGGGGACAAACAAAACCCAGAAAGTCCTAAACCTGGTGTAAATCAATCAGCATCCACCAAGCCATAATATACAAATTGTAAACCAAAATACACACGAGAAATGTTTACATTGGAGAAGAGTGTGCTGAAACAGAATCTAGTATAATGCGTTAAAAAGAACCCAGAAGAAAGTTGCTAAGGGCTGGATAAGAAGGGGAACAGATTTTTTTGCTCTATAGCAGCACTTCTAATATTTAATACTGAGGTGGGAGACTATATGGCCTTTTTGCTATGTTATGTAGAAAGCTACAAAAGGTAAACTGAATGCTATTCTTTAAATAGAGGGACAGGTTTTAACCCGGGAGACCTCAGTTAAAATATGTCTGTTCTGCTTCTGCAATCTTCTCAGGCCTGACATTATGGTTTGGTACAAGATAAAGTTCAATAAGTTCTATGTATGAATGAACTTATTTGTTTACTTGCCTTATTTACATTTCTCTTTCTGCCCCTTGCCCCCAGATAATACCCCATCTGATTTTAATCTCCGGCTCTCCCCTGCCTCCACTAAATCTCCAATTAGTTGACAGTAAATAGATATGGCCTTCCCTTCAACAACCAGAACAAAAACTAGAGAACATATACATGAAATTCTTAGGTAAAAAAATAGTACAAAATTTCATATTTCTGTGCTCAAGCTTGGTTAAAACTGTGAAGATTTCACTTAAGCATGATGCCAAGTCCCGATCTGGGGCTTGCCACACCTGGGGGTGCGTGGGGCCCAAACATGAACCAGGCAGCCACACAAACTTGCGGGAGCCACGGGACAGTTGGGTGTGATCGCGGCTGCAGCAGCAGGACTTCCGGATGCTGCGCTTCACCGCTGGCAGCTCAACAGCTGATGGCTTTTGGGCCAAGCCTCCGGTTGGGAGGAAAAGGTGCTGCAGCTGTTGTGGGAAGGCTGGGGTGGCTGGGCTGGGCTGGGCCAGCCGGCTGATCACTCGTTAGTTGGCTGCTTGAATGGACAGAACTAGACTCCTGTTGCTGCTAAGGATGCAGACAGAACATAGCTCCAGAAAGGGGGAAAACGAACCACGATCGCTAGACAACAGGGAAGGCTGGTATCGGATGTTGGGTGACTGGGGTGTAACCGGACAGCATGAGGGTATGGGTGTGGTTAGCCTATAAAGTGCATTGGGTGGCTGAAGCTTCCAGTGCTGACTTTGCAAGGGACTTTGATGTTCCCACCCGCTATGCACCAAGGCTTTGGACTGAAGACTGGTCACTGCTATGTTGTTGTGCTCTTTCTTACCTGATGTGTGTGCTGTGGTTCTTCCCATGGACCTTTGAGACATGATAGAGAAGAGAGTGCTTTTCCTCTGTTCAAACAAAGTCCTCTATTTGATAAGAATGGAGTTTACACGAGATTCAGAACTTAGTTCATGGAAAAATGATGGAGTTTGAATCTAGAGATCTCAAAGGGGATGAAGTAATATATGTAAATATAAGTATGATTTCAAACTCATGGAATATACACCCTATGTGTAAACAATTTTGTTGCTGTATTTCTAATTGCCATCAGCTCCACAATCATGTATTTGAAATTAGCAGCTATATAAGTTGAAATAAGTATATATCACTGGGTACTAGTCATAATGGCTGCCTAGCATCTTTAGAGACATTTGCCTTTCAATACCTGCTTCTGAGCCACACAAAGCAGAGTGTGGATTTATCAGCCTATCTGGTTGACAAGGGTGGGAATAGGATGCGGGGCTCATGCCTTTGTATGCCTCTTAAGGCCTGTGATGCAGGGCATTAAGTAATACATTAATGTCTCCCACCCTGCAAATACAGGTCAGCCTCACTCTCTAGGGTGCCTCGGTTGGTTCCTGTGAGATTTTAAAACCACCAAGTGTCAGGATTCCAGCAGTCCCCTCCATTTAAATCATGAGTCTCCAGCCAAACTTCCAAAACTTAAAAAGGATTTATTGGGAGTTAACATGCAGGCACTGCCTGGGTGAAAACCAGGAATCCTAACTACTAGACCATATGGGATGGGGAGATGGAGCATCAGCATGTGTGGTTTTTCCCCAAAAAAACTTAAAGGATTTATTGGGAGTTAACATGCCGGCACTGCCTGGGTGTAGCCAACTCTGAGACACATAATTCTTTGTCACCCCTGATCCTGGTTTTCCCCCCACCCCTGAGTGTATCGTAATTCATATTCTCCAGTGGGACACATCCATAGCTTAGAGTCATCATGCTCTCCAGTTAGAATTTTGTGTGGCAGAAACTTCAGTCACCTAGTTACTATCTTTGAAAACATTTATGGAATGCAGTTTCGGTTTTGCAAACTGCTGCACTGCTTCCCCCTCCCTTTCTGTTGGCAACTCTAAAAAGACCATAGAAATATTTTGAGTTGACACCAAGTCCATTAGGCACCAGCTCAGGCCAAACTGCTTTGAGACAAGCAGGGCTGTCAGGAAAGGAAGGGCTACCGAAGGATGGCCAGGAAGCACCCAAGGAATCCATGGTAAAGGGAGGAGCAGAGGAAAGGATTGAGGCCCAGAACTGCTCTGAAGGGTCTGATGTCCCAGGAACACTAGAAGCCTTCCCTACCCCAATCGCCCTACTTGCCCAACACAAGATCCAAGGGGAGGCACGCTTCACCTCTGGCCTGACCCTCCAGGAAGTCCCCTCCCTCTGCTCTTGGGAGAACTGTGGTGCTTTCTCGGCAAGTACCCAGCACTGATCTGTTGTGACCTTGGGTCCAGAAAGAAAGAAGGGCTACCCGGAGACTGCATTCCCGGCCGTGAAGCACCTTCGTCGTAAATGACATCTCAGGACCCCACAGCTCTGGAAGCCAATCAGCCCCTTTTAAGAGAATCATAGACAGAGGAACAACCAAAAACAGTGTTCACCCCATGTGTGTTTGGGAGCCTCTTTGCTGTCACTCACCTATTACTAGTCTGCTTACAGGCCAGATCTAAACACATCACAGGCCAGATCTGACCTGCGGGCCTTGAGTTTGAAATGTCTGCTCTAGGTGAAAAAAATATTCTTAAACAGAATGCTAAAAACTGATCTAAGAATCTGCTCCAAAATGGCATAGGCAAGCTTCATGATCATAAACAGAGGAATATATTATTGGTGTACATTGTAAGGTCCAAAATGCACTCAAGTCATCAAAGTTCCAAAAAGAGACTTAAGTAGAGGCTTGGAAAAAGTAACAGTTTTTATTTGATCAAACAAAATAGCTGGGTGGACAGCAAGAAAGAGCCCCTCCTGAGGAGAGTGTGGGAAACATCTTATACATTTATGTAGCCAGAGCCAAGTTTGTTCCCCATCCATACAGCATTCCTTGTCCATGCCCTTCTTATCTATAGAGCATTCCTTGTAGGCTTGTGTGAGATGCGTCCTCATCTATTTTGAGTCAACCCTGGGCAGCTCTGTGCTCGCCCTTCTTATCTATTGAGCAAGGGTTTGCCTGGTGTCAGTGAAGAAGCGAGAAAGCAAGGAGCAAGATACTAGGAGTTAAACTAAGACTAATTTATAATAACTTCATTCCGCCCTTTACTTCAGGACAGGATGATGCTTCCTGTCAATGATTGATCAGGGGGGTGAACTCTTTGAGGATGGTCTGGAGGACCATGACCTTTGCCGGTTTCTCAGGAGAGTGAACTGATGAGACTGTGATGGTGCACTGTGATGGTGCACTGGACCACACACTGAATCAGTGCAATGGAACAGGGGAGGAAGAGGAGACCTCCAAAACTAACAGCACTAGAAGCCCAATCCTTTTCCAACCAGAGAAGATACTGCCAAACGAGTTGAAGTCAACTGCCTCATTCCAAGTCTGCACTGGGACATGTACTATGTTCCTCATTTGGTCAGCGATCTCCTTTATGGTTTTTTTAATGTTATCAATTTTTAGGCAGCAGTTGCTAAGGCTGCATTTTCCGCAAACTCCACCTTCTTGAGCAAGCAAATAGTCTAAGGTGAAACGTTTCTGGTAGGCGGCAGCAGGGACTTGGGTGTTAGCAAGCAGTTCAGGGGCTGTGCTCATAGCATTGGTGACGGTTTCAACATCAGCTTGAAGACGAATCAAGTGGTTTGGAAGATAGATTGGGGTTCTATAGCCATACATGCCATCCTCTTTCCAATTTGCTGGGCCATATGCCTGAATAATTCTCTCTGGAGGCCAGTCATCACTTCCCCAAGTCTTCTGCTGGTAATTTGTAAGGACCTTTTCTGTCCATCACAAATTTGGACACCAAGTCTCTCTCCCTGAGCAATGGGTAAAAGGAAGAAGCTGGGCTTTACAATGCCCAAGGCACAAGTCCCACTCCATTTCTCTGGGAGGGATACGTAGGCCTTTTCCCCACAAATCCAAAATAATCCATCTGGGGCTGGCCAGGACAAGGATGCATGTAGGCGGTCCCAGACAAAGGACAACTGCTTATAAGTAGAAAATGGGTTCTCAGGGCGACTTCCATTAGTTCCTGACCACCAGGTGATACTGTCATTGGTGGCTAATACATTTTGACAGACCAAGTCCCCCAAGGGGATTGTAAAAAGCTGTGAGCTAGTCCTTTGAAAGCAAGTGTTACTGATGATGGAGGTTTTCAGATTCCACTCATGGGGCCGGTCCACAGAGAACCAGGTGAGGTTCATTTGGTATAGGGTGGTCAGGTTTACTTCCCTAGACGCCCATGGCCACTGTTCTCCCATATTGGTTCCTCCACAAA